GTTAACTAAGCATTACTTAAATAGCCAGGGATGGGATTCAAGGTTTTCCTTAGTATCCTACGTTGTACTTGAATGGCTCAAGTGTTGATAGCCCGCTGATTAGTGAACATCTTGAACAATAACATTACTTATCAATGTTATGTAATAGTAGCGCTCGTCTGTTTAGCGCAGGAAACATTGCAATGGTAGAATATCATTTCTAGCTTGTGTGCATGATTTATTCCGGCATTTCTGCTCTTCAAGAGTTGGTTTTAAGGAACACTCTTAAGAGATTCCCGTTGTGCTCACCCGTTATAGCTGCAGCTTTGTGAAACAAATACCTCTCGTGTTATTTCATCGCTGAAACAAAACTTGCAACTTGGAAGACTATAAAACAGTCGTATGGAAGAAAGTTCAATATATCTGCGTTCAAGTTACATTGGAAATTACGGAAATCATATGTGACTATGTTGTTACTAAAAATCACAAGAATATAAAGTATGCATTCTGTATAAGGTCATATTCGTGAAACATCGAACAATATAAATCTGCGTTGACTGACAAAACTTGATTAACTTAAGCCCTTCAGCTCGCTTTATTAGGTGAAAATATTGCTTCCCGATAGTTCTCTGGAAGATGCATTGTTTTCTGTATAATAACTGAAAAAAACGTAGTTTGCAGTAGGTGACCAAGCTAACGGTTAACATACCGCGACTTTCATGCGTCCCTTCGGTTGATAGAAGAACAATACGCTATTCATTCGCGGGTAGACAAAATAACCTATTAACTGGCGTCTCATTATGGAGCCTGCATTTTGGTTCAACTTACCACAATCTAAAAAGATAATACATCACAATCTAATTAATCACAGTGAATAAGTCAACAAATATGGCCAGAGCTACAAATCACATACTTTAGAGAAGTAATCGATTTAAGACTTCGGGATGCAAGAGATGCGAATGGTAAATCGTCGTCACATGATCACTTGTTATGAATCCGCGACCGAGTCATTTCTCATGTTGCAAGACAGTGAATGTTGATTTATTCGGAATGCGATGTTTCCGTGAAAGCGGCATAAGCTACTTGGCAGTAGTTAAGAAATGTATGAGACTTTTTGTGAAGAATAATATGATGTAGTTTTCGCACAAGAAATACCCAGCAATATTTGTACATGGACTCAAGAAAATGATCAATTAACCTACTCCCAGTTAATTCCTCCTTTTAATGGCATTTTAATTCCCACCGTTGCATGCCGTTTAACCTTTGCTTTCACGGTTATATATTAGTCAATGGAACCTGCAAACTTTCGTAACTGCGACAGACGGATTGATACCGAAATACAAAGGCACCTGCTAACGGAAAAAGTCAGTCTTTCGGGTAGCCAATCACAGCGCAGGATTTGGTCCATCTTGCCTGCTCGCTGAGCGTCAGCCATATAAGAACAGACTAATGAGTCCTAATAAGCGATAAAAGATTTTCAAATTTGTGAATTTACTATTCATGAATTTAGAACCCCCTTTTACCTCGTTTTATAAAACTGTCTACATTATCTATGACCTTTATAATAACCTTTATTCTAAAATTAGGCGGGATTTGTTTTTCATTGATAATATAGCAACGTATGAAATTGAATATAAAGAAGCTGTCTGTCTGGTTTTGTAGCCTTAGGCTGCAAGTCCGTATGTACAGGTTTGAGCCACACTTTATTTAAAGTAGCTCGAATTTCCGGTTTTGCTTGCACAAATAGAGCAGGTTAAATTAGTAATCATAGAACTAAAGGGTAACAGCCTTTTTTGGAAGGAAAAACGATCGAAGTGTGGTTTCGTGACTGATGGAGACACTGTTAATTTGTTTGCTTTG